CCATGCCGGGTCGGGTCAAGTACATACCAAATAAAGTTATGGACTTAGACACTATATCCAACAAAAACATGTTAACTTCCTTTTAGTATTTCTGATTCTATTGTTTCACATGCATTTGATATTATTCACTCTGATGTTTGGACCTCACCAATCACTAGTGTTAGTGGTTTAAAATACTACGTCATCTTTCTTGACCACTACACTCATTATCTCTGGGTTTACCCTTTAAAACAAAAATCTGACGTGCTCCTTAAATTTGTTGAGTTTTTCACTCATATACAAAATCAATTCTAAACAACCATAAAAGCTTTCCAATGTGACAATGGTGGTGAATACAACAACCAACAATTTCATGACTATTTCTCAACTCATGGCATGCAATTTCGTTTCTATTTCATGCCCACCTACCACCCACCTTTTGGGTTGAAGCCCTTCCCATGGGCACACACCTTCTCAACATCCTTCCCTCGACTTCTATCCAAAATGACACGCCAACCTTCCGTGTCTTTAAAACTCCTCCCTCATATGATTACATTCGCATATTTGGATGTCTAGGCTTCCCACATCTCTCCACACCTCATAAACTATCACCCAGCTCTTCCCCATGTGTCTTCCTAGGCTACCCATCACATCACCGAGGTTTTCGATGCCTAGATCTAGCCATACGCAAAATAATTATCTCCCGACACGTCACCTTTGATGAAAACACATTCCCGTACCAAACTATCACTCCCAATGAGCCACCATCCTACTCTTTTCTTGACGACACCCCCTCTCCTATTCGTTTTCACATGCATCATCTCTCTATAAATGATACCTCATCCACCTCTCCTGCTTCTCCTCAAACTAATAACTATACACCCATCATTACTCATATCCCAAACACCCCTCCATCCAACTCCCATTCCACAACTTCCACCACCACATCTCCCACTCCTCCTCCCATACACCCCATGACCACTCGTCTAAGAAGCGGGACAGTCAAACCCATTCAGAAACTTAATCTTTGTGTGTCGTCCATATCTCCTATCCCTCGGTCCCACTTATAGGCTATTGAGGACCCTAACTGGCGACAGGCTATGCACGATGAGTATAATGCACTTATCTCGAATGGGAGTTGGACTCTTATGTCACGACCCCCAGGGGTCAAAATTGTTAGATCTATGTGGCTTTTTCGTCATAAATTTAATGCATATGGTACTTTATCTCGCTACAAGGCCAGACTTGTTGCGGATGGTCGCAATCAGCAACTGGGCATTGACTGTGATGAGACATTCAGTCTGGTTGTCAAACCGGCCACCATACGCACTATTCTTAGCATAGCTGCCTCCCGACAATGGCCCATTCATCAACTTGACGTGAAGAATGCATTTCTTCATGGCCACTTACAGGAGACTGTATTCATGCACCAGCCACCTGGTTTTCGGGACTCCAGATACCCCAACCATGTGTGTCACTTACAGAGATCTCTATATGGCCTCAAGCAGGCCCCCCGAGCATGGTATCATCGCTTTGATCAACATGCCCTTACTATCGGATTTCAGCATAGCCGCTCTGACTCTTCCTTATTCATACTGCACACCCCAGCCGCTACTGCTTATCTCTTACTATATGTTGACGATATCATTCTCACAGCTTCATCTTCAGATTTATTGCAGCATATTACAGCCAGACTCGGTCACGAATTTTCCATGACCGACCTTGGCCATCTTAACTATTTTCTAGGTATTTCTACAGTACGATCTTCTACCGGCCTCTTTCTTTCTCAGGCGAAGTATGCATCTGATATTCTGGAACGTGCAAACATGGAAAACTGCAATCCCTGTCGTACACCAGCATAACCAATTCACAAACTGGATGCTGGCAGAACTCCAGTTGCCGATCCTACCTTGTTTCGCAGTCTTGCCGGTGCTCTACAATATCTCACTTTCACCAGACCCGACATTGCATTTGCAGTTCAACAGATATGTCTATATATGCACGACCCAAGAGAACCTCATCTTCATGCTCTCAAAAGGATTCTTCGCTACATTCGAGGGACCCTTGCTTTTCGGCTTCACCTTCATGCCTCCCCCTCCATGTCCTTAGTTTCTTACTCTGATGCTGACTGGAGGGGATGCCCAACTACTCGACGATCGACCTCAGGCTATTGCGTCTATTTAAGGGAAAACCTCATCTCTTGGTCATCCAAACGACAAGGCACCATCTCCAGATCTAGTGCAGAGGCAAAATATCGAGGCGTTGCCAATGCTTTTGCAGAAACTTCATGGCTTCACAACCTGTTACTTGAACTTCATTGTCCTCCTCCAGAGGCTACCATTTTTTATTGCGACAACGTCAGTGCTGTTTATATGTCATGTAATCCGGTTCAACATCAGAGAACCAAGCACATAGATATTGACATACACTTTGTTCGTGACAAAGTTGCTCTTGGACACATTCGAGTTCTTCATGTTCCATCTTCCGCTCAGTATGTCGATATTTTCACCAAAGGACTTTCAACCAACCTCTTTTCTGATTTTCGATCCAGTTTAAACGTTCGTCACTCACCTCCCAATAAAACTGCGGGGGGATGTTAGTAGATCTCTGTATTTTACCCACATATAGTTTTGTACAACTCATTATTAGCCTAGTACAGCTAGCCCTTATGAAATGTAATGTGTATATATATATTATGTTGTACCCTTTATTCTATTCAAGGAATGATACTCAATATTATTATATGCCTCAAACCTAAAACATAACTACGTTATATAGATGCACATATTATACATCAAGGTTATCCGTTCATTAGTGTTGCGGCACAAGAGAGACACAAAGGAGAAACGAGTGTGACGTTATGTCATGAGAATTCCTAAATATGGATTTAGATACAAACTGATCGAGTGATGGAATGAAAGAGAGTACACAACTGGTGTGAACTGGTACGACAGTGACTAATCTCCGATGACTGTGTTCTATATAATCCGGAAACAACGAAGTTAACAAAAGGTGCTCTGAAAAAACATTAGTTTTTTTTTGAACATTTTGGAAATTCCAATGGTAATTTTTGTACTAAAATATGTACTTCTTTGGTATTTTGTGTACGAATGATATACTTCAAGGATATTTTTTAGACTAAAAAAATAATAGTATTTTTTGAATATTTTTGAAACTTTGTTACCTTTTTAAGTCATTTTTCTGTTTAGCTGAGGTAACCGGTTACCACAAGGTTTTATTTGAATACATGTGTACTTCGTTGGTGTTTTGTGTATAAAAAATATATTTTAATGGTATTTTGTGTCCTAAAAAAACAATGGTATTTTTTGTATATTTTTGAAACTTCATTACCTTTTTAAGTCATTTTCCCAAAAATAAACTAACTTATTAGCTAGTTGTAACGGGCAAAACATAATAGTTTTACGAGAAAAATCTCTTTCAAACACAACAAGATATGAACTTAAATTTTGTCATTTATTTGTAATGATCTTATTTTTCTTTATGATAAAAACCTTAAATAAAAACACATAAATGTTGTCAAAATCAAATAGAAGATTAACATCTGAGATGGCCTAAGTCCTTTATGTCTCTTTTCAACTCAATCATGTTCCACAAACTTCTATAGCTTTTAAAGTCGGACAATTTAATACCTTAAATTTCAACTTGGCTTACAATAGCAAAATAGATAAGTATTATATCATTGATAATTGCCATTTAGTCAAATGTTTGTTTTCACGTCGACGAGGATTTGAATGTGATTTTTTTTTAATTATTGTTACGTTTTAGTTTGATTTTAATTATTATCATTATTATTTATGTCACATGATCCTACGTTGGTAGAAAAAAAAAACGAGAATATAGGGAGGCACAACACCCCATCCTTTCTAGTTTCTAAGCTAAGAAAAAAATTCAAATTTTATGCAAAAAAAAGAAAAAGTTATAAACTTTAAAAATATTTCAACGAAATAATATATATTAAGTAAAGTTAATAGGTTTTTTATTTTATAAAATAACAATTCACTCTTTTATAGATAAACATCAATTTGTTTTGAAAGAATTTTAAACTATTAATTCATTTATCCACTAACTTTTAATTTTCACATGTTCCGTCTTTTGAAAAATTGGCTGGTTGATTTTGTCATATGAAAAGTGATTTATTGGACGAACTGACTCTTATACCCTTCCTGCCAGCCATTGTACATTTAACTTGCTTTTGAAGGCTAAAATGTAAAATGGAACATAAATATTATTTCATTTTTCAATTGAGAAAATACAATAATTGAAATCTCATCAGTTATTCGTGGTGCTTCTGAATGATCCAAGGGCTTTGATTGCACCAGCTCTCAATATAAATTGGTGGTAGAAAGCTGCAATGGCTGCTCCGATGAATGGTCCCACCCAGAATATCCACTGTCATCACAATGAAAACGCAAATTCAGACAAAGTACACCATATAATGCATCAACTACCACACCATTGTTTGCTGATTAAATGTTTTATTTTATTTTTATTTTTATGTACCTGATCATCCCAAGCTTTTGCTTTGTTGTAAATGACAGCAGCTCCAAGACTCCTAGCCGGGTTGATTCCGGTACCGGTGATAGGAATGGTGGCAAGGTGAACCATGAACACCGCAAACCCAATCGGAAGTGGTGCCAAAACCTAGAATCCAAAACCCAATTCACGTTATTTTCCAATCTTATACACACAAAAATCACAGATTAATGTTAAAATTCGGTAGTGTTGTCCGTACTGGAACATGGGAGTCACGGGCGCTTCTCTTGGGGTCGGTGGCGGAGAAGACGGTGTAGACCAGGACGAAAGTTCCGATGATCTCAGCGCCGAGTCCGGTGCCTTTGTTGTAGCCGTCGGCGAGTTCGTTGGCTCCTCCGCCGTACCGCATGTAGTAGCTTTTGTGGAAAGCCTTGACCAAACCCACACCACAAATGGCTCCTAAGCACTGAGCCACCATGTACATGATTGCACGGATCAATGACACTTTACGAGCCAAGAATAAACCAAACGTCACTGCTGGGTTAATGTGACCTCCTGCATTATAGTCATCACATTTACATAAATATTTACCAACGGTAAAAAAGTAAAAAAGCAAAAAAACTTCTTTCGCATCTACTTTATTTACCATTTTATCCATGTGCATTCCTATCCAACAAGGGCATTTTGGGATTTTCATAACATGGTTCAATTATTATTACACCGGAGCATTGAGAAAATGAAAACTTACCGGAGATACCAGCGGTGCAGTAAACAAGAACAAAGATCATGCCTCCGAAGGCCCAGGCGATACCGAGGATGCCAACTCCGCCGCACTGGTCGAGGTTCAGGGCGGGGTCGGTTTGACTCTTGTAGCCAATAACGGTTAAAACAGTAATATAAAGGAAGAGAAGGGTGGCAATGAACTCAGCGATGAGAGCTCTGTAGAAGGACCACTTGGTGAGCTCCCCCGGGTCTATCAACGGCGCCGGCGGTGGGTCGTGGTAGTCCTTGGCGGAGAACGAACCTTGCTCCTGCACATCTTTCGTCATGTTAATTTGGCAGCAGAGAGAAAGTCGGTTGATGGTTGTGGAGTCGGAGTGATGAAGGGAGAAGTGGGGAGTGTATGTATATATAAAGGGATTGAAGATAAGAAGGGTGTAGAGTGTACAACGGCTATTTTTGGGGTAGGTGGATTGTAATTATGAAGAACGGGAAAAATTGCCGTCCAAAACACACTACATTTTGTAAATTTCGTTTTCACCGACCCATTTGACGTTGTCCCACCACCTTACAACAAAAAAATTACAATTTACACCTTTTTTTTTTTTTACGAATCTGGATGACGCACTACTGAATCTTCATGAATGATTTTATTCCATTTTTTTTGTGGTTTATAATTGGAGTAAAAAATGTATATGTGGTAATGTGTTTACGTATCTAAAGTTTTAGTTTTGTTGTGAAGTGCATAGATGGGATGCTCTTGTTAGAATAAATGCACAAATAATTGAATAATTTATGTATCTTCTAGTTGTATAAAATATCAAAACTAAATTCATCAATAAATTAAGGATAATAAGTCACAAGAGTAATAAAGTTTTGTTTTTTTATACATTTAATCATTTATGTTTTTTTACGCATAACATTATTGAACATGTTTGAATTATTCACAAAATATCATTATAACCGTTAATGTATGTTTTCTGGCCAATGACATATTGTTTTTGTATACATCCAGTCATTTATGTTTTGTTTTTATATACACTTAATAACTTATGTTTTGTTTTTGTAAACATTTAGTCACATGTTTTTTTTAGAGTTCCATCTTTTTCCAAAAATAACAACGTTCATGTTGCTTGTTAGAGGAAATTTACCCATCTCTAGTCCCTTGAGTTTTGTCACAATGTCGTAAGGTTTTATGGATCTATTCTGGTTACCATAAACTTTGGAATCTTGCTTGCTTATTATAGGTAACTCATACAAAATTAAGAGGCGAAATTCGTCAATTATCAATCATACAAATGAAAAATTATGAGTCATAGAAATGAATATATAAATATTATAAGTCAAATGGGTTTACTTTGAGTAGACAAATATTAATAGGGTTGGCACCAACATTCAACATATCTTCAAAAGAATCAAATTCATCATGAGTGCTATCAAGTCGAGCCTAAAGCGAGACAAAGAATTGACCAATTAACTTCAATACAAAACCAAAAAAGTTAGTCAGCTTCATATGCCTAAATCTTTCATCTCTTGGAACATGTATGTTTAAGCTATTAATAAGTGCAAGTCTTCTCTCATGTAATTTTAGGGTTTTAGGATCTATAAAAAATGAAAGCTCTATTTACAACTCCTAGACAACATTTGAACAATAAAAATAAATCATATATACAAAAATTAAGAATATATTTCACTTGATTCCATTGGTGGTCTTCCCAATCTATCCCTACAAGGATAGGGGTACTCAAATGACCCTCCAAGAATGGCTCATACATTATCTAGGTCATAATTGGGATCTCCCAAATAATTATAGAATGCATAATCATAAACCTTGCCATGCTTTAAGCTCGCCAAATCCATTACTTTAAGATGGCCAATTCTTCTTCTCTATATGGAATTAGTAACTCGGATTTTTCGGATGAACCATGAACACATGAACTCAGGGTATTTTTATTAGATGAACATATGAACCCGGTTCTTGAACTTCTAGAAAAATCAAACACATGATGAACATAGACACAATAAGTGACTAAATTTGTACAAAAGCAAAACATCATTTTCCGGAAAACATAAATAATCCAGTTATAATGAAATTTTGTGATCAATCGAAACAAGTTCAATGGTCATATATGTATAAGAAACATAAATGACTAAATGTGTAAAAAAACAAAACTATATATGTTACCCTTGTAAGTTATTATCTCTTAAATTAAAGGGTATAATAGTTTTGATTCACTCGATTTACTAGTATTTGTATGATAACTTTGAATTTTTTAAAATCAAATTTCAAAATACTGTGTTTTATAAGGTTATTAAAAATTGGTGAGCTCAAGTGCACGGTAGATGATATATCACTAGGTTTATACTTTATGTACAGCACCAACTCTTCTTTTTCTACAATAGTTTCGTATATAACTACTTCAGGAAAAATTCCATGCATCTAAGAAAAAAACAACTTTGGTTACTTTATTTTTATCTTTTCATTTTCGTTTGTCTCCCTCATCTGAAAATAATGTAAACAATAGTTTTATTTACTTCCTGAAAGCTGCTAGGAACCAGATATAAAATTATAAAAAAGACGTTTGGTTTGCTCGCATGTTATATTTATAATATCACATGTCATGTATAAGTACAGTTAACCTTTATTAACTAGTTTTACGTATTATATGTAGCAGTACCTAACATAACTTAATTGTAATTTAGTAGAACTTTTGGTGCTATTTTAGAATTTAGTTGTTTTAGTGGGTTTGCATAAGCATAATTATGATTTAATTAAACCAACTTGTTAGTTTTTAAGAAAAAGTGACACACAATGATAGTTCACGAGAGTTTGGTGGTCGATATCACATGATGATGGCTGCCAAAATTCTCAGTGTTTTAGTTAAACTTTGGCCCTCTATTTTCCAAAAAAAAAAAAAAAAAAAAAAAAAAAAGCTTTTGGCCCCTCTCTTCATGGTGGCCCTAATTAGGAACTTTTGGTTTATTTGTTTTGGCAGCAAACTTTCTATTTTCTATTCTATCATCTTTCGATTTTCGTTTATATAAACTTTTTTCTAGATAGATAAGTATTTTAAAGATTATCGCATATATACATCATTTAGAAGGCTCGAGAGTTAGCGATGTCTATTTCAACTTTTGAGAATATTTCTCCTTCCTAATCTAATAAAACATATATCCTTTTTTTCTTTAAAAAAATAATACAATTAAAAGAGTGTAGTAATGTCATTACTATATGTATTCGACAAAATTAACTACTAACAGTTAGTTGTAATACGTAGTTTTTATTTGTACAAAAGTTCGAAAGTAACTCATAACTTAATTTTAAAGACGTAGAATTATATAAAATCAAAAGCAAAAAAGTTATGAAAAGCTAGAAGTAGTTTTTTTGTTTAAAATAAATCTAAAAGCTCATGCCGTCAAATTAAAGTTTTTCCTTTTTTTTGTCATCTATTTGTTAAATACTAAAAATTAAAAGCTCTCGGAAATTTAATGTTGAACTCATTGTATTTCATATAAGTTTATGTTCACAGGTCTCATGGCCAGATAAACTAAATTATCATCAAAACAATATATATAGAGGTTATTTTCATTTATAAATTCTATTTTTTCTACCCAATATAGACTTGTTAAACTATAATATGCTAACTCCAAAGATGTATCTTTCACAATTTAATACCCTAAGAGTTAAAGCATGATGTTTCATTTTCTAAAAAGTTAAAAACATATATTACCGTATTATATTAAAATATTAATCGTACTTGACAACTAAAAAACACGTATACGTATTTGTAAACTATTAACATGTTTGTGCATGTTTTGATAATCATAAAACCAAATCAATTACAATAATTAAGTTTGAATATTTGATAAGTATAAGTTTATATATTTTGTGGAATATAATTATTGTGGTAATATAGAATATGAAAGAAAATGGTTGTAAAAATAATTCCATGGAAAAAAATCATTGTAATAATTGAAGCATGGAGAGGAATAGTCACTACACCCCACGTCTACCCATGGCCAGATCACACTTCACCGCTTCTCATTTGTCAAATAATCTTACACCTGTACTCTTTGGGTTGGTTGACAATGATTCGAATCTTGATTACAGAAACATATCTAATATTCCAGGAAAATAATATAAACAATTTAATGTAACGCCTTTCCTACATTTTAACTTTTAAGACTTCATTCACATAATTAACATTAGTTATTAATGCTGTAATCATATATTTTTTTAATCGTATCTAACAATAAATTATTAAAAAAAAAAAAGAATGTTTGCAACTTTATCCACAACTCAAACTCAAATTTATATACACAACATGCACTTCTTTTAAAAACCATTTAAATCTTTTATATGTAAATATAAAATAAAAGATCATCAGTTAGGTATTTAGTTACACAATTTAATCATCAGTCACTTTGGCTTCATTTAATTCCAATCATATATTTCCGCCGTTCAAAAAAATTCCAATCATATAGTTTACCAAAAATAGAGTTCATTGTTAACAAAAAAAATTTATCACTTAACGTTTAAAAAAGTATTTCTTTTCCATGACAATGTCATGCAAAGAATTAAGAAACGATCTTATTGTGCCATGCATTACATGTGGCCGGAAATAGTGGTTTCCGGGACAACTCTATGTGGACCGGGGAAAACAAATTAAGCCGGTCAGGTTGTATGGTTCTTAAACAATCGGCGGTTCAGTGGCCAACACACCTGGCTGTGTGGGTCCCGCCTGCCGCAAAAAGTCATCGTCGTCGGCAAATTTTGTCAAGTTGGCATACAAATGTACTGCTGGTGATGCAGTGCGTACATGTCCTTATATGTTTGGCTAGTTCTAGAAAACACACGGGTCCGTCCTTGTGGTCCTCTTTAGTCTTTACTTGACCGTTGGGTCCGAATCCAACCAGTCATACAAATTAAATACATTCAATTATTTTTCCCAACGGACAAATAAAAGCTTGTTTAAATAACGTCGTGTTATAATTGTGAACTTGTTCATTTATAGAAACAAGTTATAGCTACGTGTCTTAATTAATTATACAAATTATACAATGTATTTTTAAAATTTACGTTTATCAGTATTATGGTTCAGTTAGGTACTTGACATAGATATTCTCATATTCTCATTTTGATTATTGTTGGCATAATACATATTGCATGAGTTAAAACTCTTTTATTTTGTTTATTGTTAGGCATAATATATTACATGGATTAAAAATTCCATATTGCTCAGTGTGTCAGTGTTATTGATGATTATATTGTCATCAAGCGACAAGCATGTTACGTGGTTAAATTTTACACAAGTGTTAGAAACAAATTTCAAGGTATACTCGAATGCAAGTTGGTATGTATGGAGTGCACATTTTTATTAGCAAGTTTAATCTTAGACACCATGAATGG